GGGCAAGGGCGAGCATGGCCATTCATCAATCTTCGGTGGGTCCTCGGCCTTGTCCATAGCCGGCGTACTGGCGTGGCAAAGACCCCCTAATCCAGGACACAGTAGGCACGAGGACCCAGCGATGGTCGGGGACACCCTCCAGAGCAGTAGAGAAGGCAGAGAGGGGCACATGGTACGGTGGACTGGGAGGGGCGTGGAGAGCCCGGAGCTGCATGGTGAGACATGCCGGGAGCGTTGTGCGCACTGCGTCACCGGGCGGCGGGAACGGCGCGGAGCCAGAGCTTCCGCCTCCGCCCCTTTCAAAATCCATGACCGACGTAAAAGTGATGTAGACAGTGAGCTCCTCCATGTCGCCCGGCCCCGCCCCGCGCAACAACGACTCCCAGTCTCCGTCCTCGGCGGACGTTGCGCTGTTGTCGGAACACGACATGGATCAGAAGGGGAGAGGACGAGACGGAAAGGGGGCGGCCGAGAGTGGAGTGAGCTTTGACTGCGGTCTAGGCCTCTAGGGTTTGTCTGGAATGGGGTTATATGTGCGGTCCGTGTGAGCCAAGGTGGGTCGGTACGATGTGGTCGACAGGCCCGAGCGCGTCTGTCCCTCTTCATAACTGCCCTAGATTAGGGTTGGGTTTGAGTGGTGTCGGCCAGACGGAGCAAGCCCATATTTAAGCGCTCATAATTCGCTCATACACTAACCCCTATGAACAAACAAGCACACCCTACCCCTAAGAGCACATTCGAGAGATTTAGCCGGCATATCTTGAGATATACGAAGCCATCATAGATGCCTCGTAGTCGACGAGAATGTCTCCTCCCATTGAACGTGCATCGTCGAAAATACTAAAATAAATCAAGAAAAAATGCATGCACCATGATTTAAACCCTGAGGCATTGTTCGGTTAATCCCCACCACAAGAGGATTGGAGAGGATTGGAGGGGTCTGATGTGGATTTTGACTTGCTGGGGATTTAATCCCTGCCAATGTGCTCCAAACCCCTTGAAACCCAGTGAAACCGAACAAGGCCTGATGGGATGGGGATACCACTCTTCTCCTGACTAGCCAACCACTGATTGGTTCGTGCGCATGTGATGCGTTGGATGTGTTCTCTTCGTTCTTGGCCACCCCCCTCCATTTCCTCCCCACATCAAGGATCAGTCCTGCCCCAATCGCTCTCTCTCCAAACACACACCTACTCGTTTTTGCTGTGCCCAATTAAGTCCCTCCTCTGTTTCTCTGTTCCATCCTCCCTTCTCAAAGATTCAAACAAAAGCTTCACAAGGACAAGGATGAGCTCCTTGAGCTCCATTGCCGTCTCAAGAAGTATAGGAGACGGTACACGAAGCCACATGTTGTGACTTGTGATCCCTCACGACACCGCCATTGGTGACTGGTGATCCTAAGCACCCCGCATTCTCTTCTTCCACCTTGTCTTTAGATCGGGTCCGGCGGGAGCCGTGAGCCACCACACCATGCATGCTGCCATCAACTACGCAGCCCTGTCGCCCCTGCAGCTCCCGCTCCCCTACCTGCCACCCCCACTGCCGCCATTACTGCCGCTGCTGTCGCCGCCGCCTCCGGCGACCGTCGATGCAGGCTTTCAGAGCAGGATCAGCCCCAAGATCCTTCTCATCGTCTTGATCTTGGCCGTGATCTTCTTTGTCTCCGGCCTCCTCCACTTGCTCGTCTGGTTGTTGTTCCGCCCGACGCCGCGTGACCCTGGCGACGCCGGGAGCAGCGCCGCGAACGCGACCGCCTTCCACGGGCAGCTTCAGCAGCTGTTCCATCTCCATGACGCCGGCGTCGACCAGTCTTTCATCGACGCGCTGCCGGTATTTCTCTACGGCGCGGTCGTGGGCGCTGGAGGGAAGGACCCCTTCGATTGTGCGGTCTGCTTGTGTGAGTTCGCCGACGACGACCGCCTCCGCCTGCTCCCCAAGTGCAGCCACGCCTTCCACGTCGAATGCATCGACACGTGGCTTCTATCGCACTCTACGTGCCCGCTCTGCCGCTGCAGCCTCCTGGCCGACTTCTCGCCGTGCGGCGGGGGCTGCAGCTCGCTGGTGTTTGTGCTCGAGTCTGGCTCGGAGGGCTCCGTCTCCGGCCGCGTCGACCGGCCGCCCCCTGCTCACCTCAGCCTGGTCATGGAGCAAGACGAAGGATGTGAAAGTCAGACGCACTCAGATGTCAAGGAGAAGGACGAGGTAGTCGTCCCCGTGAAGCTCGGCAAGTTCAGGAGCCAGGCGACGGAAGGAGGCGCGGGATGCAGCTCCAACCCCGACCAAGATGTGAGGCGGTGCTACTCCATGGGGACCTATGAGTACGTCATGGACCAGAGCTCCCTGCTCCGTGTATCCGTGAAGCCGCCGGCGGCCATGCTGTCGAAGCCCACGATGGACAAGAAAGAGAGCTTTTCCATCTCCAAGATATGGATGCGGGGTGGGCTGCGGAGGAAGGACGGCAGCGCGGCCCCGTCAGGCTCGTCGTCGCGCCGCGCGTCGTCGTTCCGGCTGCCCTCGGCGCTCCAGCGCGCGGCGAGCGACATCGGGGCGCCGAAGCGGCGGGCGGACGTGGTGAGCCCCGTCACCGAGTCCGAGTACAACGTGTCGGCGTGGGACAAGAGCGGGAGCGGCAGCGTCGTGGATTGGGACGTGGAATCCGGCACGGCCGCCGGCGGGCTGAGGTCGAGGGCGGACGAGGCGCCTTCGTTCGCGAGGCGGACGCTGCTGTGGATCAGAGGCCACCAGTGAGAAGAGAAGGTCGCAGAGTTCTTTGCTCCCCTGCTCCGAGCTGGGATGGATCCAGATTATCAGCGCGCTGGTTTGCTCTTTTTCTGTTCGATCCGTGAGATTTGAACCATTTTGCGTGGGTGGAATGCAGGGTTAATGGTTTTACAGCTCAGAGTTTTTGAGATGTCTCTGCATCCGCAGAGCGTTCCTTTCACTATCGTGTGTTAATGTGCATTGCTTCGACTAGGTTTTCTCCGATCAAAGGTGCCGGCCTGCACCGATATCCCGCGTTATGAATTTCAAGGTTGAGAGAGCAAACATGCTTGCAAAAAACAACATTCAGAGTGCGGCAATTTAGAATGTCAGCCATCTCAATTACGCATTCAACTCCTTAGTTTTTCATTCATGGCTGGGCTCTACCCTGGATCCGGACGCGCAAGAGCTGCCGGATTTTGAAAAGCAAATTTCTTTCATAATAATAATAATGCGTGGGGTGGCCATCCCACTTGTGCTGCTGGCTAGTACCTACTTTCCTGCATCACATTGAATCCTCCTCGCCTACTTCAATCGAAGAACACTCGCATAATTGCGGCCTTGAATGCCAGAGACGGTTGGCTGGTGGACTTTTTTTGGTTGGTCGACGCTTTAATGTCTCGTCCTCCATAGTAATAACTTCTCCAACCCGAAACGAGTAAATATCTGTATTTTTGGGGAGCTTCAGTGCCGAATTGGCGCTAAAACACGCGATGGGCGCTGCCCATTTAGCACCTCCCTTCCCACGATCAGGTTTTCAACCTACTTTTCTCTATTTTCCTGACGGCTGCCAAGCATTTGAGTAATATGATGCGGAGAGAGTAGTCTCTTATGTTGTACCGCTAAGGCGGTGTCTGTAACCAAACTCTCTTCTTAATTAATGACATGGAAAATCTTTTGCCTCATTTCGAAAGAAAAACTTTTCTGTATTTTCAGATGCTTTTTTATGAACCCCTGAAAAGGGTTTTTTTAATTAAATATGAATCTCATGAAGTTCAACAATCCTACAAAATGTGAATGAATTTTAAAAAATCCCCATAGTTTAAAAAATATTTATGTATTCCAAAATATCCACAAATTTAAAAAATGTGCATGAAGGGTTCATCAATTTAAAAAATATTCACAAAAAATGACAATACTCAGACATTTAAGAATTATCACGAATTAAAAAATAAAAGGAGAAAATAAAACAAAATGAAAAAAAGAAAGAAAATACCAAAAAGAAAAGAAACAAGGCTAAAGCTTTTGGAATCTTCCCAAAACCAGTGAAAGAGAGACTACATGGGCCTGTTGACGAGTCCAATTTTTGCGTCATGTTTTACATTTTATTTTGTACCTTAGTATTAGGATTTTCGTGGATTTTATCGCATTCCCGCAGCCTTTTATTTGTTTTCACCAGGATTTTAGCTGCGGGATTATTTTGAGGCACAAGAGAAGAATCCCAAGGATAAGGTGTAAAAATCATGTTAATTGGCGTGATAAAAGACTACCATAAAAAGGAGAAGTCGAATGGAGAAGAAAGAAAACACAACAGAGGTTCAAAGAGCAGTGAGATGATAATAAAGTGCGCCAAATGAGTAGGGAATTTTGGAGGACGAGCTCCATCGAGCTAAATTTTTTTTAAAGAAAAATCGCATTTTGAAGTTAGAGAAATATGTAAAACACATTCTACACTTCATATGGATATATTCTACATGTGTATAAATTCTAAAGATGAAATACATTATGATAGAGATACACAAAAAAGACAAATTCATGCATTTTTAATAGTGAACCGTGTGTGTACTGGCCACCATTTCAAAATCACAATTTTGTCTTTTTAGTGTAGCTCTCACCATAATGTATGTCATCTTCAAATTTCACACACATTTGTATGAAGGTGTGTGACTTTTTCAAAAAAGAATAGAACTTCAAAGTGTGATTATTTATTATTATTATTAAACTTCAAAATGTGCTTTTTGATGATTATTATTATTATTATTATTATTATTATTATTATTATTATTACTATATTGTATATTATTTTAAACGAGCTCCATGGAGCTCGTCCTCCATTTAGCATTTTCTGCGGCAAATGGCTTTCCCTCCGAAGAAAAAACAGGTTAGGTACCAGCATTACCGTAACTCGCTTTATTATGGAGTGGAATACATTTCCTTAGTTAATCCGGACAGAAGGATGAAACTGTCCTATGTTGACGTATATGGGTATGATTGGGACCCGAACGGAAGCATATAAGTTATCAATTGTCATTAGCCCGCGCCCTCTTAGTCCTGTCGTCGACGCCATCATTGAGCACGAAATCGCCGGAGTTGTAGCCGACACGGTTGCCTGCCTCCGCCGCCTGTCGTGCGGTTGGATAGCCACGGCCCGGCTGTTTGTGTTGGCAAATCTTTGGAGGACGTCCCTTGTACGCCTTGCAGATGTAGGCTACGAAGTCCCCGAAGTTCTGAAACGAACGATCTCGTCACTATTTAACAAGTACTACATGTGCGTAAACTGGATTTAAAACTTGATTTAAAACTTGAGAAGAGTGGCTGTTGCTCACGTCGTACAGCGGCTTGCTATCAACCACCACCCACGGAACGGACGTGTGCCGAGGCAGGAGCGCGTCTGTCTGTCTCCCGTACTTGAGCGAAAGCTGGAAGGAGCAAACAAAGTGCCAACACTATGGTTAGTTATTATCTAGCCATAAAATGTAGTATGCGACTGATACCACAACGCAGCGGCATAGGATTAGTACCGGACCTTGTGGCCATGCTCACTCTTGTAGCACTCCATGACAGGCTTGGGGTTAAGCCCTTGCTTCTGGAAGCACGACTGCCACTCCTGGTGCTTGTACTCCATCGCCAGCTCCTCCACGCAGTTGATGAAACCGAAATGCACTTTCTGCAACCAGCAACAGCTAGCTATCAGCATCATATCCGGCATGAAGCTGTGAGGAGAGACGATGATGGATGAGACGCGAATGAATTACCACATCCGGCCAGGCGTCGATGGCGCAAGCCTCCACGGTGTTGAGAAGGCATTCATCGGGGCCATGCTGCATGCAACAAGCCAGTATCCAAACAACGTTTTTATGAGTATCAGCACCATGCACCGCCAAACAGTCGGTAATTAGACAGTGCTAATTCACACCTCAGAAACCCAGAACCCAAAAAGATCTAGCACTATAGTGCGGCGATGGCGCACCTGACATGTGATGGCGCCGTGCGCGTCGACCTTGGCGTTGCCGTAGGGAACCAGGGTGAGGTCCGCGGCGTCGAGGAGCCCGTCCTTGAAGACTCTGGCGAGGCTGTCCACCATGAACTGAAATGAGTCGGAGCACAGAGACTCGTAGTAGAGCTCCATGCGCACCTTCCCGTTTCCCGCCGCGACGACGTCGCCCGCTGAGGAGGCGCCGCCGATCAGCAGGAGGAGCGCGGCGAGGAGGAGGAAATGGTGCAGCAGGCGGGCGGCCATGGTTTTCGCTCCTCCGGTTGATCAATGGGCAGAGGGTGCAAGGCGAAAGTCGCCGTCGGGAGCTCCGAGCCTTGATGAAGTGGAGGAGCTTGGCAATGGGGGGTTTATATTGGCGATTAGCGTGAGGCTGGTGGCCAGCGAGGTGGTTTAAAGGTCAAACTACAATTACTCCACTCCATGTTCTACACAATCTAATGAACCTTGTTTCTATTGGAAGAAGTTTGCCACTCTAGGCAAGAACTCAATGCGAACATTTCCTTTCAGAACGGGATCGCGTAAACCAGTAGGCAAATGACCGCTAGAGGATTGCCAGTAGTGGCGTTTCTACTTCTAGAAGCTAGCAAAATACAAAACCTCAAAGGAAGTGGCTTGCAATTAATTAGTAAACCATTCCGTAAGATGGAAACTGCAAGAGAATTCTACGGTAGCACGGCTGGTAGTGGAGCCTAAACTTGTGTTGTGCACATAAACCAAGCCATTACTCAACCCGGACTCTCGGAGGAATATAGGCGGCAACTGCTGGCCATGTCATCTTATCTTTCCTTTTTTTAGAGTCACAAAACCATGTTTTTTGTTGGCCATTTCATCAGAATATGTAAATGATCTCGCTGTTATATGATGAATAGTGTTTTTTCATGTAACTGAAAACCAAATCGGGTAATTTTCGTACGAACGGAAGCAAAAGATTTGGCTCATCCATCATGCTTAATGACTCCCCAGCACTTCTTGAAAAAAAACGTATGGGAATCCGTCCGGACCGAAAGCCTTGTCACTAGGCATCTTCTTAATAGCCTCCCAAACCTCCTCTGCCCGGTGATAGCAACATCAAAGACTTGCATGAAATGCAAGTCAAGTGGTTGTAAGTTGAGCTCATCCCAATTAACGTCAAAGTTGCTCTTGTCCCCTTTCTCCATGACCTTGAAGAAGTGGTCATGTATAATCTTCTGTTTTTCCCCATGCTCGGTTACCCATCCGTCTGCATGATTGAACTGGTGGATGTTGTTTTTCCTTCTTCGAGCATTGATGTGGCGGTGCAAAAGTTCATGTGGGTGTCACCATCTTTAAGATTTGCAATCCTAGCACATTGGCTCTTTCTAGCCCTTTGAAGCACGACCAAACTAATCACCCTCTGCGTGAGCCCAGCGTGGAGATCAAGCTCCTGAGGGGAGAGGAAGCACACTTCATGCGCAATGTCGAGTCGAAGTATCACAAGAAGGGTCGCATCAAAATGGATCTTGGCCTTGGAGAAAAGGTTTTTACTCCACTCGGTGAACGAAGCACTGTTTTCTTGTGCTTATGATGCAAGATAGGATATGGCTCCGTGTGGGGCACATGTTCACTCCACGCCTTTTGGACGACCTCATGAAATCAAGGCAAAGAAACCCAAAAATTCTCAAACTTGAAGGATCGCGGTCTCCTAGGCCCCTTGTCATCGTCAAGCAGAAGAGGGCAATGGTCGGAGAGGGAAGAAGACAAAGTGTGCAACACATGGGTGTTGAAGGTTGTGTCCCACTCGGCATTGCAAAAAGAGTCGAAGCTTGCATAAGGTTGGGTCAGCCCTCTCATTGCTCCACGTGAAATGCCTATTCTGAAAACGAATCTCCTTGAGCTCGCAAGACTGCAAGGTGGCTCGGCAGCGCAAGGTGGCTCGGCAGCGGTTAATCCTACTAATTTTAACATTCCGCTTGTTCTTGTCCCAAGCACGATAAATCTCATTGAAGTCCCCAGAGGCTAGTCACGCCACACCCGGCAAGGGCTTGTGGCTGATCATCTTGGCAAAGAAGGCATCTTTGCAAGCGGACTTGGTGGGACCATAGACGGACGTGATTTTGAAGCCCATCACCATAGCGTACGTTGGATACTGCAGAGGGGGTGATTAGGGTTGCACAGTGATTACCCCCTCTTAAAAGCAAAATAATTCATACTATATATTTAACATAAATCATCTATAGGGTTGGAATTTAAATTCAAAATTCATGAGGTAAACGAGCAACTTGTTACTCGACTCGAGTCGACTTGAACTCGGTGACTAACAAGCCAAGTTGAGTTCTAATCTGAGCTCTTTAACAGAATGAGTTTAATGAGATGAGCTATTGTTACTCGTTTTGCTCATTAAGCTCATTAAACAGAAAGGGCGCGAGATGAGTAATAATATTGTTGTTGATTGTTATAATTTGTGGAGTGCACCAAGTGTCCCTTTAGTGTAAAATTTGTAAATTGTTGTGATCTGTGAAAAGAAAACTATGTTTGTAGATACATTTTTGTAGATTAATTGTATACATAATACGTATATTTTGTTCTTTACGTTTATAACGAGTTAAACGAGCTAGCTCGAGGGTTACACAAGTTGAGCAGGATGATATTGAGCTTGTTATGTTAGTCGAGCCAAGCTAATGTGTTATCTTAACCACCTCTAACTAGTCTGAGCCGAGCTGGTTCAACTCGACTTGAATTCCAGCTGCAATCATCTAATAAATCATTACTACTTTAGAACTATTTATTGGAATTATGATGAGGTTTAGACATGTTACTTCCAAGGGCGTTCCCCTCTTTACGAAAAAATAATTATAGTGTTACTTTCAGAAAATTTGAACTGGTGTATGGAAGTTATGTTGTACAGTGTATGTATTGTATATGTAAACCACGCCAGGCCCCACTGCTAAGATCGTAGGTCCACCACTGTCTGTGCACCTCCGTACGTATTAACATGAACAGAAAGATAAAACTGCCAATGCTCTCCATATTAACTTGTACAGTAATTGACATCACCATAGCCCACTTTATTATCGGGTGATGTACATCTCCATAATTAACCTGAACAGAACAGTGAAACTGCCCTATATTCACGTATATCGACGTATGTATATTAGCCCCGAAAGGCAAACATGATAATTTATCAGTTGTCATCAGCCCGCGGCACCTCAATCTCGTCCACAACGCCATCGTCGAGCTCGAAACCGCCGGAGTTGTAGCTGACACCGTTGCCTGCCTCCACCACGGTCGGATAGTGACGGTCCGGCTCCTGGCAAATCTTGGGAGGACGTCCCTTGTATGCCTTGCAGACGTAAGATACGAAGTCCCCGTCGTCCTATAACAAACGAGCTCTTCATAATTCAAGAAGTGGCATGTGCATACATGGTGAAATTCAGACATGATAAACAAAACTGGATCTAAAACTCGTGGGAAGGAAGAGTGGGTGTCGCTTACCCGCGGCTTGCCATCTACCACCACCTGTGGGACCCGCTGAGCGGAGGCACAAGCGCACCAGTCTGTTTCCCATACTTGAGTGAAAGCTGGATGGAGCAAACAACACTCTGGTTAGCAATGCAACTATAAAATGTAGAGTACGTACTACAGTATTACTAATATGTGATTGATACTAGTAGTACAATACAACGCAACTTCATAGGAACAGAACGGACCTTGTGGCCGTGCTCACTCTTGTAGCACTCCGTGACAGCCTTGGGGTCGAGCCCCAGTTTGTTTTCGATAAAGGGCTTTTCATTGAATTGAACTATCGAGTTGATACAACCGCATCAAAAATAACCCGGCCTCTGCATATCTAGATGCACACAGCCAAAGTATCAGATCCCAAAAAACAAAACAAAAAGGCGGAACGCCAGCAGTAGCGAAAAAAAGATAAAAGAGGCCTAAGGTGATGCCGGGCCTATCCGAAGGTCACACCGCCATCCATAGGGGTAGAAAATGTCCCTGGCCGAGCACTCCAACCGGGTAGAAGCCATCATAAATAAGTCTCTGTCCTCCGGCCTCTGCAGGATAGACCACATACGGAGCCATCACGAGCATATATGAATTACCTGCATAGGAGATGAAACACTTTTATGATTAAAAACAATATCATTCCTGGTTAGCCACAACGCCCAACATAAGGCAGCCGCCCCCGCAAGAATGTGCTTAGAAAATTGTTTATCTATTCCCCTCAGCCAATTCCCGAACATATTCCGTACGCTGCATGGAGGGTATAGATTCGAAGCAATTTGGACTATTGCCCATACCGATCTAGCGAATTTGCAATCAAAAAATAGGTGTTTAATGGATTCATTATGATTGCAAAAAACACATTTTTTGCTGCCTTGCCAGTTTCGTCGAGCTAAATTATCCCTAGTTAAGATAACTCCTTTGTTGAGAAACCAAAGGAAAATCTTCACTCTTAGAGGAATCTTAAGCTTCCACAATTTTCTATTATCAGATGGAACCTCGTTATGAACCAGTGCATCGTACATGGATTTAACCGAAAATCTTCCGTTCAGATGCAGGTTCCATTTAAAGATGTCCGATTCAGCCGACAGTTGGACAGCTTCCAAACGAGTCAGCAGATCGTTCCATGCATTCAAACGAGGTCCAGAAATCGTTCTGCGAAAAGAAATATCCGGGTTTACTTGTCCCAATACCTGCTTGATCGTGACAAACTTATGTCTAACTATTCGATATAAGCTTGGGTATTGCACATTTAGAGGAGTAGTCCCTAGCCAGGTGTCTTCCCAGAATCGAATCTGGGAGCCATCCCTGACAGAGAAGGTGCCAAATTGGAAGAAGAATTCCTTAGCTTTCATAACCCCACTCCAAAAATGAGAGTCGCCTGGTTTCCAGTAAACCTGGGAGATTGCTTTGGACCCAACGTATTTATTACGAATGATCTCCTGCCAAACACCATCCTCAGTGAGTAATTTGTATACCCATTTGCTGAGCAATGAAATGTTTTTGATCTCAAGATCCTGGATTCCGAGTCCCCCTTGACTTTTGGGCCGACATATAATATTCCACCTAGCCAAGCGATATTTCTTTTTTTTCATTTTCACTCTGCCAAAAAAACCTTGATCTAAAATAATCAAGGCGTTGGAGAACACCTTTTGGCAGATGAAAAAAAGATAGCATATAAAGAACCATGTTGGTAAGTACCGAGTTGATAAGAACTAGTCGGCCCCCATAGGACAGGAGTTTGGCCTTCCAGCTCGCCAACCGTTTCTCCAGTCTTTCTT